TTAGGTGTATGTAAGCTGCCATTTGTACTTAGTTACTAAAAATAAACCAGCTCGAAATGAAACAAATCGAATGGGAAGCAGTACCAAGAGTAATACATAGCCAATCGAACGATACCAGAAAAGCCTCATGCAATAAAGTTTCAAATATTTTAAAGCGAAAAACTCATGCACAGCCTAAAAACTAAAATTGAACATTATGCAAATGGATTTCTAGACTGTTAAAATTTAAATTGTATATTTCAACAGGATAATACAAAACGCTTCTGTGCAACAAGCAGTAAAAATCAATCAAAATAAAGTTGTGTAAGAAATAGACATTTGAAAAAAGCCAAGTTTAACTTCTCTGAAAGTGTTACCAGTTTGGTAGAATAATATATATCTTCAAGGAAATAAAGATTTCTAACTATAGCTCCAAAAACATTTACAATTGCTTTAGGGGCGTGCTTAAAATTCGCAAATGTAGAGAACTTAACAAAAAATTGATATTCATTTTAAATTTTATTTATACAGAAAATTCGAGCAAATATATAGATCTATATTCATTTATTTATTTATTACATAATACAATTTAATCTAAAATAATTCTAAGTATGAAATTACAAACAGTTAAATATAACAAGCAAGAGGTTCTAGTCGGGAGCTTCCGACTAGGGGATACCCTGAACCCTCTTCTTCCGACAGGCGATAGGTATAAAATGAAAGACACTTGATATAGATATACTATTCTAGAAGCTACATGTCATGTTTGGTAACTCTAGCTCATATGATTTGCCGACATTGCTCAAATAACAGAATTTCGATATCGATTACTTGGAAACGGGGCAAGTTATCGAATATCGAAAACAAACTCGATCTGCGCGGGGACTAGGAGGACCTACAGCTAAAATTTGTCTAGCTCTTATGGGTTCTGAGATCCTTGAGCTCATACACACGGACAGACGGACGAACATGGCTAGATCGACTCGGCTAATGATTCTGATCAAGAATATATATACTTTATGGGGTCGGAGATGCTTCCTTCTGGCAATGACATACATTTGCACAAATACATTATAACTTTTTTACCCATTTTTAATGGGTTCAGGGTATAAAAATACATAGCTTCAATCTAGAAAAGCTTTTATATAAAAAATGCAATACAAATTATGCTTCTATAGTTCTAATTGTGAAATTGCAAAGAGTTGGAATACAAATTAACATCTTCAATCTAGAAAAGTAAACGAATTATAAAACCACAAAAACTTCTTCAGTGTTCTACAGGCTTAGTATTTAAAGTTTTAAATTTGACTTTTATTTTGCTGAGAAGAACAAAATGATATAAACATATAATACATCGATAAAATTAAGCATTTAAGATAAAACTAGAGGAGCACACCGAGTAACGATAGAAAAGAAAGGGAATGGTCAAGATAGAAAAAAGTGTTGCGAATCGAGCAAAAAATAAATTGAAACCAATTAATGCATTTGATATTGACACTTTAGCAAGTGTCACGTTTAATATTTCCGAATGGTTCAAGGGCAGAGCTAGAGAGATGCCAAGCTCAAGAAACAATTCTGTTTATTTTTGACTATTAAATATTATAAAAGAAAATTCAAACAAATTATATTTTTCAATGATAAGACAATAAGATTTTTATGAAAATAAATTAAAATAATTATTACGCGTTGCATACCATAAGTTTTATTTTGCAACTGCTGGCAATTAATTATCTGAGAATATGAGTACGCTATGCGAACGCGTTTAACTGAAATTCCCCCACATTGTGGATGGCGAAATTAGTTAAAAATAGTCAGCGACACGTCGTGGCTGCCGCCGGCCGCATCTGATGATTAAGCGGGCCCCCATGAAATTATTAACTTGTTTTCGTGGCTGGCAACAAATGTTGCCATTTTTGGAGCTGCGACCCAACGAAACCGCAATTAAGCACAAATCACAAAGTTTGCCCAAAATTGGTTAAGACTTAAGCAACAAACAAGAGAATAGCGACAGCGACAACAATAACCACAGCTAAAGGGAGAAACAAGAGAAGCAACCGAATGCCCCCAAAATTTGTGGTGCCTACTTTTGACCAAATTTGGTTGAACGTTTATCGCTCGATTTTTGTTATTGGTTTTTGTTATTGGATTTCTTTTGAATTGTATTGTATAATATACTTGTATAGCTCGTACCCGTACCACATCCAAAAGCTTTTTGTCTCTTGACCCGTTTTTCTTCTTGCTTGTATTTGTTGTTTTTGCCTTTAAGCCACACGAATTTATTGTGTATATTCGCTGCCAAAGCAAATAAAATGCTCGGTTTTTATGAATTTAAGCACTTGACATTTCATTTCGGCCAGACTCATGAGCATGTCATGTGACTAACACTTAAGTATCAAGAATCAAGTGCGAGCCATATAAAACTAACGAACAAATATTTTCTGATGTACAGTTGTCAAATTTTAGGTATCTTCTTTTTATTACATTTTTTACCCTTCTGTAGTTTTGTCATTAAACTTGAAACGCACAGATCGAGACATCTCCCTCCACATAGAGTATATATATTTCACTTTATTAGTATCTCTATATATAAAACTTTTTGTCCTGACTGACTGACTGACTGATTGTGATGTAGGTGCACGTTAAGACGGGAAATTTCGGCTAATTCCACCCGCAAGAGTGGAAAAAATTCATTTCCAGAGATCTATAAGAAAAATCATTTGATACGTGTTTCACACTTTTCGCAGAATTCAAACTTCTTCGGGGGGAATGCGATTTAATGATTTTTTGTGCGAAGTTTTCAATTGTGTCCGATTTGCTTCAAACTTATTTTCAAAGCTCTACATAAGAACTTAATAAATACGTATTTCAGCGATTTGGGAAATTCCACCCGCAACAGTGGTAAATTGGCGGAAAACGTTTGTATGAAGGTTATTTGTTTACCGTCCGATCAGTTTCAAAATCATTTCAAATTTTTTTGAGAACATTGATTTTATAACATATGTGGCCGGGCAAGGCCGGGCTATACCCGCTAGTATAGTATAAGCTTACAGATATTCAGCCGAGTTGCTATAGTCTGTTTGTTTTTATGCGAACTAGTCTCTCAGTTTTAAAACTATTGTCATGAACAAATGTCGGAATCGGTCCGATCGAACCCCTATATCGGACCCCATATAGCTAAAAGTAGTTTCCTGTATGGAAAACTTGTTGTTTACCAAAAAATATCTTTACCAAACTCAGCATTTATAAGTATCCCCATGTTTTTTATCAAGCAGCTTAACTTTTCTATAATAATAAATAATATTATTTAAAAAATAATAATAATAAAAATATAATAATATTTTGAGTAATAAATAAGTTAAGCTGCTTGGACAGGGACAAACGAAATTTTTCAAAGGCCTTTTGGTCGGTTGTTATGACATTTAAGTTAAATCTGAGATTGGAGGAGAGGAAGAGGAGGTGATTGTCTCTGACAGCCTTTTAACCTTTTTACTCTGCCATAGAAATGTTACAGAAGTTATGGAAAGGCACAAGCAGCCTTGAATCCAATCAGCCGATACAGTAGTGCCCCCGTATGACTACCAATGCTGTCAATATTCTATAACAATTACAGTTTAACCTTTTATTTTTTATTAATATAAATTTTATAATATTTTTATTCCTAAGAAAACTATTTTAAATATAAACAAATTGAAACAGTTTTACTCGCATATACTGTTTTATTGTTTTATTTTCCTTTTCACTTTCGAATCTGTTAAACTAATTTTAGATGCTTGTACGCTTCAGCAAAGATTTTCACTTAATATCAAACGCATTAAATTTGATTAATTTGATCGCATTACGAATGTGTTTTCCTACGTGTTCAACATTAATTTGCCGTGTGATTTTTGTTTGCAACATTTTTAATGCCAAAAGTCTGGAATGGGGAAATATCTAAAATGCAACTTGGCGGACCGAAAAAGAGATTTCGTGTTTTGGCCAACAGCAAAAACCAAAAAAAAAAAGAAGGCCAAAACTATTTGAAGTTATTTTCGCTACTTGGCCTGACACTCGTCTGTGTCATTGTTCCATGTGTGTGTTTGTTGTTGTTGTTGCTGTTGTTGTTGTTGTTGTTGGAGTATGGCTGTAAAGTGTTCGCCTGTCGCTTTCATTATGCATCCAGCGAACAATGTAGGCGTATTTTGATTATGATAAACTGGCGAATTATGTTGTCACTTTGCATTTTTCATATAGAATGAAATTATATTTTATATATGCGCGTTGCACTGCGACTTCGTTTTCCTACTGCTGATGATTCTTCCAGCTCTTGTTGTTGTTGTTGTTGTTGTTGTTGTGCTTGTCGCGTCGACTCTTGAAAATATTTACATGTCGTGGCATTTGAAGGGATTTATGTCGCCCCAAACTCGCCCGACTCTCTGTCAACCCGCGACTTTGGGCTATGAAAAATGACAAGCAACTAGAGAATTGGGGAATTCTACAAGTATTAGCCAGAGGAGCAACACCTTTGGACAGCCAAATATCAAAAAAAAAAGAATAATAATAATAATAATAAAAAAAATTTTTAGTTTTTTGCCATTTGTTTGGCTTAGCGACGCGTTAACAGCGCATCTCAAAGATACAAGAAAAAATCAAATACAGATATGAAATTTTCGTGTGTATATCTATGCCCAATTTAATATGCTGCCGACTAAATTTAAAACATGCGCAGCTATTTATAATGTTTCACGTAATGAATATTAGCTGTTGATTATAAACAAAATGATTTCCACAAGGTATTTACGCGGCTGACGTCGCCAAGTTCAGCTGAAAGATTCGCGAATACGCAAACAACAACAATGACGTAGTAGCCGCTGCTCCTCCAGAGACACGAAAATCCCACCCACACCATTGCGGCCAAATGAGATAAACAAATAAACAGATTCTAACTATAGTGTACCGTTCAGTCTGGAGCGTCTAAATTTAGATGGGGGTATACAGTATTCGCAATTATCGGAGCACGTCATGGATTTTTTAGACGAATTCAGTTTAGTTTTTCGGGCTCTATAAATAGCCAAATGCTAAATGGGCCACTAAATCAATAAAAACACAAACGAAATCAAAAGTTCAACAGTACGTGACACACTTCAGATCAGTCGAAGCTACAGCTACAGCAACAGCTACAAATGCACATGCGGATACAGATACAAAAGCATCTTTGGGATGTGTTCCGCTTGTGGGGGAGGCGGGCGTTGAACAGCGCTGCGAACATAAAAATTACAAGCAGATACTCGGAACGGGGCATACCAAAAATTAATGGCAACAACGCGTCGCAAACACGACAAAAAAATTTGTTTCTCTCTGTGTGTATCTGACGGTTCTCACCGCTTTCTGGCCAGGCCCATTGTCAAATGGAAAAGCATTAGCCAGCCATATGGAGCACGGGGGAAAATTAATGATGTAACTTGGCGCTGCGGAAGTGTGTCATGGATTTTAAGTAGAAGATGCCGCTACCTCCAAAATGTTTTCAAAATGCCGTTCAAAGCGCCTTCCATCGCCGCCGAGTTGCCTTTTAATCAAATGATATACATACGGACATATAGCTGAGTATCTATAGGTATATTAAGCATCTATATATATATATATATCTACATATATATACATATCCATGCCTGACTAAATTTAGCCGCCTGGCATACATAGATACAAATGTATCTATGCACTGTAGCCCGATTGACGCACAATGTGACGCTATCATATGCTTATCGATATCTCTCTAGTTGTAACTGTATTTCTAACTCCAACTGTTTCTCAGCCTGTGACGTGCTTTGCCAACTGATAAGCGATAAGCTTTGCCTGCGAAACGTAACCAGATTTGCAAACCCATTGTGGAAATAGAGGAAAACTCTTTGTATCCATGCAGTGGCTAGAGATACTATAGCCCCATTTAGCTGATCATCAATCGAAATACATTATGGCGAGGTATTCCAAAAAAAAAAAACAAAAATGGGATCACATTCTATATATGCAACTCTTAAGTATTCGTATGTGTGAAACGGAAAAGCGGCGCATTCAGCGCATTTGTCACATTATCTAATTATAAAAGATTGAAAGTCGAAAATAAAACCTGAAATGTTGAAGTTTAGCTACACTTATTGGTTGATTACTTAAAATAATATTTTTAGTTTTTATTCAAAATAAAATAATATTGGAGAAAGGTTTGCTAGGAGCCAAAAATACAATTCCATACATTCCAATTTCGATTGGATGATTCCCTTCAATGTTCAATATTAAGATATTCCATCAAAAGTTAATTCTCAAAGTATAAAAGTATCTGTGAATATATTAAGATACTCAATCAAAATTTAATTCTCGAAATATAAAGTATCTGTGAATAAGATACGCTATTATACCAACAGAATATATAGTTTATAATAAAGCATAACTAGTTTTTAAATAAGTTTATTCTTAAATAATGCTCAATAAAATAAAATAAATGAAGCTAACATAATTTATAGTTAAGCTTCTAAAAATGTAATTTATATAAAAGTTAGCATACCCCTTATCCAGGGTATTCAAATGGAATCAACTATTTTGCGCACATGGACGACAACATTTTTGTGCTATAAACTATAAACGGCATTTAGTGGGATTAACTTTTTGTGGCCATCGTTGTCATATAAATATCTACACATTTCTGTGTGCGGCTCGTAAATAAAGTCATTAAAGTGGAATCCAAAGCATCTCAGGAAATCGAGATATGCACAGAAAAAAAATGAATATATGAGAAAACTAAATGCATTTTCATTTGGCTACAAAAGTGTTGTCATTAAAGTTCGTGCACAAATGCACACAAAATCATTTGCCAATCTCTGGCAACAGCTATTTTTAGTGGACGTTGAACGTCATTAGGAGTGCCTGAAATTACCTTGACCGACGCGCAAGACGATGCCCAAATAGAACATATAGCTATAATTAGATCGGCACAATCAGCACACCTCCATCTGTCCATTCATCTGTTCGCATGTACGTGAGCATCTAAAAGCGAGTCGAGCTGATTAAGCGCCCCCAGAATTTATGAACTTGACGTGCGAAATTCTATTTGTAATTATTTTTCTACTTGCACGCGGCGCCTTTCACGTCATATCAGGCCGAACTATAAACAGATGGATCCATACAGATAGTCAGGCAATTGTTTACACGCATCATTGCTAGGCAGAGCAAGTGGGAGCGAGACAGCGAGCGAGAGAGAGAGAGAGCGAGAGAGAGAGAGCGAGGGGCAGCGTGGGTTAGCGTAATTCCAATTTAGGCATGATGCCCGCCCTCAGATGCTTACCAGGTTCTACGCTGTGGCACACGCTCTCAAAAATACATTGACCAGCTGATTGGCAGTCTGTATCATTTTGAGAGGGTATTGCAACTCTGCCAGCGTAGCATGACTTTGGCATGCAATGTGTAACGCCTTTCAGAACTCATTGTCCCATACACAAAGTATTTGTGTATTTGAACGATGGGCAGAGTCTAACAAATGTGAGGGCTTTGTCTAGAGAACTGACATTTTTTCAGAAGTCTTTTAAATTTCAATATCAAATATCTCAAATAACATGTGTTGGCACCGAATAGTACACTATATTTTTTATTATTTAATTAGCTTCATTTTTGGAAAATTAAGTGAAGCAACCAAAAATATTTTGTTATTTAAGATTTCAACATATATATAAGTATAATCAAAAATCACGTAGCTTCCATAAAAACAATCGATCGGAAATTATATTGCTAAATGAGGCAATTTTTTAGTGTTAGGGATCACTTGATCTACCTCAATCAATACAAGTTATTTATGCCTTGAACAACTCACGAATTTTCATTGAACGAATTTTTATTTTTTTAAGTTATCCCACAATACAGTGGGGCATGAAATATATTCATGTATTCTATAAGATATAACGATTTCTTTGCATTATCTTTCACGATTGAGAGCCTGAACTCTAGATCAGCTTAGCTTATACAACTATTAAAGCAACAATAGTTTGTATTTTTATGTAAGAGTATTTAAGCTTCAGTAACAACCATTTAGCCTTTTATCGCTGCTTGTTTTTTTTTTCATGTACGTATGCAAAAATATTTACAAAAAAAAAAAAAACTACAAGATAATTATGAATTTTTGGTTGTATGTTTTTCGGCTAAACATGTTCATCAAAATGTATTTAAATTTAGTGGAATGAGGCACGCGTTTTATATTTAGATGATTGCCATGGCCTCACAATTGCCACACATACAAGGGACCAGGGTCGGGCATAGAGAGATCTGACAGATATTAGTAGAGGGGGCAGTTCAAAAAAAATCGGTGCACTCGTCAACAATTTTCATGCCGGACATTTTTGGCGCAATTTGTTGACCCACTTTCACTTTGGCGCCGAGTGCCGAGTGCCGAGCGGCTTATGCCTATTTTGGCATGCTCACATATTATTTATGAATATTCATGTTTTTATGCCAAAAATAATCACAATTTACAATTAGACAAAGAGGCAACAAAAACAAAAAGAAATAACAACAGCTGCCTGCCAGTGGGAGGCGATAAATACTCTGGCAGACAGATTGGCTCAGCTTTCGAATTGACAGACCAAAAGAAACTATTTAAATAAGTAAAAATTATAAATATAATTTATATATGTATATGCACATATAAAGTGTATAACATTGTTCAAATATTATCAGATTTAATTTCCACCTATGGAAAATTAAGCTCAGATTTGTCATTAAAAGACTTTGCTCTCTTTTTTTGGGTTGCTCAAAGCTAAACTTAAAGAAAAACAATTTAAAACACTCGCATTGTTCTTTCTTCGAATAACCAATTAACAAATTATAATAATTACAAAAAGCTTGATCTCAAAAAACACTAACTTTCTTCTTTAATTGAGAATAAATAATAAAGTTTGAAGAAGGTTGATCTTTAAAACGAAACTAACTTTCTTTCGAGTTAATAAAAATTATTATTATTATAAGAATAAAAGTTACCATAATGATTGAAAAAAGGGATTGAAATATTAATTTGTTTTAGAATATGTATAGTAGGCTTAGAACCATGAAGAAGAAGAAAAAGAAGAATTTCAACCAAAAATGATGAAAATACACAGACATTCCCGAAATTAGCTGTTTCGTGAAGGAAATTGAGTCGCGGGGAAAGGGAATCACTCCGAAAGTTTGAAATACGAAAACGCCAACGCTTTGAATTCTTGAATTCTTCTATTTTGATATACCAAATACTCAGGTGGACACTCGTTTTTTGATCATTATTAAAAATGAATATATTTTTTATTTTAATAAAATAACTTAATCTTATGTTATTATATATCCACATATTCTCTACATAGGTGCAAACTCTTATCAACGTCGTAACACTATATCATGTAATTTTCATAGAAACGATCGGTCGAAAAGTAAGTTCTTGTATCTCGAAAAAGCGTACAAGGGTATTAAGTCGTCAGCGTGCCGAATATATCCTTAATTTATCGTTTATTCTTATTTATTGTTGACAGTTAACATTTTGTTATCATCCATAATTTATTTATTTAATATGACTTTTATTTTATTTCTATGCAATATTATAAATATAGCATATTTTCATGAAAATTTCGAAATATTCTCACCTTTTGTAATTTATTCCGTTGGCCCAATTCGACCAATGGAAATTTTCCTTTAATTTGACTGTTCAAATTGTTAATTTGTGTGCGAGTTGTTGTTGCTGTTCTATTTTCTGATGACTGGAGCAATTTACGGCAACATGCCAAGCCCATAAAACATATTATGATGCTCATAAATTATCCATATATAATATAATATATATATAAGTTTAAAACAACATTTTATATTTATATGAATTTTACACAAAAATGAGTGCATAAAAATGCAAAACTGTCCATAGATACAAATACATATATATTTTGAAAGACTTGAAATTTGAAATTTAAGCATTATCGAAACGCTCGCCACAGATAGAGAATATAATATGTGTCTTTCAAATATACATATGTATATATAATGGCTAGGTGTATTTGAGTGTACATAAATGTATTCACACCTCGATGGAGTGGCTCGACAACTCGCTGAATGATAACGCCCACTGGCCAATGGCTTATAGCCTTATAGCATTGCTTATGGCTATATAGCCCATATAGCCCATGTAGCCTCTCCAATTTGAGCAATAGAAAATGAAGTTGACTTGCGCAATGCGCAGCTGGCAGCTGGCAAATAAAACGCTTAACAATCAAATAAGCTTGGCGATTAAAGGGGGCCAGCAGTCCGGTCCACAGGGAGGCGTGGGTCATCTACAAAGCGCCCATTGGCAGCGGGCTAGCAACAAAGCAATTGTCAAGAGGGCAGACTCAACCAATAATAACAAGTGGCAGCACGCAAAAGTATTTCATAGATTTAAAATTGTTCGAGCGAGACAGCGAGCATTGGCAATGCAATCGAAGCTAAGGTATGCGACAGTCAATACGCTTTTAATTGCGGCCTACACGTCTCACGCTCGAGACTCGCTGCCCTAACAAGAGTCTCAGCCTGGCCACCATTTATGGCAATGCGGACCTTGTTGGGGTATCTATAGAAAACGTGAATGTGTTAAAGAGTCGTGGCGGGGAGGGAGGTGCGCTGCAGCGGAGAGCAGCACAGTTTGGCATTGGTGTTCGCTGTGACTACCTCTCTCTTTCTATCTGAATGTTTGCTTGTTTTATTTGTATTTGGTTTGTTTGATTTTGAGGCGCGTGCCATGTGTCATGCAACTTGCGACTTGCGACTATCTAACGCCTCTGCCTCATCAACAGCATCCAAAGGCGAACGTCGACGCCGTCTCCCCACTGACCCACGCACAAGCAACAGCAGCAGCAGCAGCAACAACAACAACAACAACAACAACAACTCAGTAAAGTTCTCGACGAGAGATAACACGACATAGGAAGCCCACACGACACACACACAATTGGCATATGGGCAGATATATGTATATGTATATACACACATTTGACTAGATGCGCGCACAATGCTGC